GCCAATATTTTAGTACATATCATAAATATGTCGAAAAGATAAACACTGTCGAAAAACCAGGTGATCGATTACTCGTTACCTCACATATTCAGCCCATATAGTCATTGATTCCTACATACTTCTTTGCCGCTGTAACTTGCTGAGATATAACCTTTCAAATGATGAGCACTCCTACAGTCTACTTATTATTAGTGCAAGATCCCCTCTGCGAGTTCCACCGTCCGTTCCACTGCTTGCGCAATCTGAGCTATAATTATCAGCTGTCAAAACGCATGCCAAAGGCGGTGTCTTTCTTATACTGTAGCTATCGGCATTCCCATCCGACGAGAATCTGCCAGTAGTGCACTCTGTCCCAGTCAATCCAACATTCGAACATGCCACACATAAAGCTGCAGCCTGCACAGTAATTGAAAGGTCCTCCTTTCCACCATGCAGCTTTTTCAGCTCATATTCATAGCTAGTGCGATTCTCTTTCGGCAGAAATACAATTGTTTCCAAATGACAGCATTTCTGCGGTGTTTCAAATAAGAAAAACGCGGTTGAATGGGCAACTGACTCGAGACATTTGCACTATAACCGCGACAGCCTCTCGTTTCAGGGTTTATACAGGCTTGCAGCAATTGCAGCGGCTGAGGAACGTACGTCCTCTATTGCACCTTGCTATGAGATATTTTTATAATTATAACGTTCCTAAGTCTTCGCGACTGTGTTGTGAAATTGACATCTGAGGGTTTTCAGATGAAAGTACCATAAATGAGGATGCACGCTACTCCGTACATTAACTTTTGACGTCTGTCATGAAATGTAAATTAGTTGATAAACGAGATTATGGTAATCTGCAAATAGTGGGTCCACTTACTCTCTGTATTAGTCTCGTCCACGACCAACGTCAGGCATGGCATTTTCCTCAAAATTGTTTTACCTCATTATCATCAAAAGTGTATGGTTGGCATTACAGCTGTTGCGTTAGCAAACGACGAATGGTGCCATCCGACGGTGGTAGCAGTGAATTGATCTCTCTTTGAATTTCTCGGGACAGACACATGATAAAATTTTGTAGTCTAAATTTCCATCATCCGCCACCCGAAAGGAGAAGCGGCGATTGAAGTTGACGATGATGATGATGATGATGAATTTCCATCATGCAGATATTCTTTGCAGAATAAATGATTTGAATAGCATAATCAAAAACCATGTCATCCAGTGGAATACTAATGGTCTAAATAACGAAGAAACTCACTTCAAATCGAGAGAGAGAGAGAGTGATTGACAGCTTTCACAGTCTAATGAACACACAGCCAAATAGCCACACGGAGGAAAGCTTGTAATAAGCTTAACTTAGCTACAAACTTTAAATCACAATAAGCAGTACTGTCATAAGCCATTTCATTTTTCCATTGTTGTTTTCGAGTTCTTTGACAGTTGACTGTCTTCTACACCTTTGTATATCTTCTCAACACCTTTTCCGTTTTTCTCATCCCAGCAACATGACTACTCCAATACTTTGCAATTCTCCTCTTTTAAATGCTGGCGCATGGACAAGCAATTAATCATTTCGTGGTCTGCTTGACATCCTGCGATGCATGTTTATTATTTCGATCGTGGCATTCCTGATTCTGTGTGAAAGTGTTTAACAATAAATTAATCTAATGCGACGTCAATAATCGTTCTGTCGAATTTTTTAATAGCATAGGAATGCTTTGAATGACGAACATTAATGTAACATGTAACACAGTAATGCAAAAAATAATGTGTTAAATGATCACCCTTAATTTTATCTCATGATACAAGACTTATTGGAAAGTAAGATACTAGATACAGTACTGACGTAGTGTATAAAAATGTAATAAATTTAATCAATTATTAGCTAATTATGGCAATAACAACGTTCGAGGCTGGAGTCATAAATTATCATGAAACTGTGAGAAATATTACGTATGAAAAACAGGGAACAACGTCACTCAAAGAACAAGAACCCATCTGTATGACTGGCAAAGATGACTATTTGCAAACGGTCATGAGCAGCATGAAATGACGAAAGATCCTGAGAAAAATCAAAGTCCTTCCCCAAAAAAAGTCAAGGAGGAATGCAGAAATTGTCCGGCATTGTGCAGCATGCAGTAAGGAAGGGTTAAACTTTCCGATGCTCAGATTGCACCGCAACTGGATGAACAGACATGAAAAAGAAGCAATAATCGTCCAATCTTTTGACAATTTTAACTGAGACAAAAAATATGGACTTTTCTGGCCTGTATGAGGTTGGTTACAACTCTTGCCGAAACTCTACTTAAAAGCAGTACAGACCAAAAGCCCACCATCTAGCTACAAACGTTCAGACAGCTGCGGACCACAGAACTTCAGAAATTAACCCGTTACATCTTGAGGTATTCCAGTGAAGCACGAGTCAAAACATCAAAGCTGGTTAATCATGCGAATGACCATGATTTCTGCGTTGTGTGTAAATAAGCTGTTTCCAAACTTGGTGATTTCTGTATGATCACCACCGCACGAAGCAAATTAGTTCAATCTTTGCACGAATAATGAATTAATATGCATCTAAACTTCATAGATACTACACTTAAATTTATTGTTTTTAAATCCAGAATTATGATTCGTTGAAGACGGTCAAAAACACATTCAATACTGAAAAAGGGTATTTTTAAAAATCTAATTCAGCAGTGAAACATCGAATTAAAGGTTGCAATACAAGGAATGAAATAGGGAAAAAAACTCACAAATAACGATTAGATCAGCTAAAATTGAGCGTTGGAAAAATAATTTAACAGAAGACATTGAAGCATTTATTGCAGGATTTCTAATTCCAATCTAATTTAGGATTGAAAAATATAAATAATTGTCCTGTTAAGCTAACTGACCCTTGATTTTAAAATATACTTTTTAATTAAATTAAAGCGCCACTGATGATTCATTAATATCAATAAATTTCGGTAATGATAAAAAAATTCAGAATATCCATTCATAATTCCGAAACTGTATATTTTTAAGCTATTTAATATAGTATTTATGCGTAAGGTCAATGCGGTAATAAGAAATACCGTATTTGCCGTGATATATTTGCGTGCAGTATGGTAACAAGAATCCTTGGGGAAGGATGTGCAAAATTGTATGCAGTATGCCCCAAGAAGTGCTGAACCTGGTAAGAATTTTTATTTTGCTGCTGAAGACATGTTTCTTGAACTTTGCCGCTGCCGGTTTATAGCCCTTATGAGGAAGGAGGAGGGCTGGG